TACTCTCTATGAAACGGCAAAAAAGATATCCTTAGAGGAGTGAGGACCAGACTACTTATACAAGAAGGGACGCCTACGAATTGCCTCAGAGCTTGGACTGTTTTCAAGTCACAGTTGCAAAGTGTCGAAATGAACAGGCTAATGAAGTTGGTTGGAACAGAATCCATGTGAAGGGCTTCTGCACTGAAAAATAGACGCCAGACCGCCACCACGCCCGCACAAATGAAGGGTTGAAATGAAACCGAATCCGGAATGGTCCCTGCGCGGTGGAGTAGAAAAAGTACGCCGCGACAGAGCCCCAAGTAATGCTATGCAATGCAGTGCGTGCAGAAGAGGGAGCTTCATTTTTCAAGGTGAAAGGGCGATCTAAAATAATTGTCTCACCTCAGCATGTCCTGTCCGAAGCAAAGCGTTGATCAGACCGAGAATCGCGATCCGCGTCCGATCAGTTTCCTTCTCCGATGGATAGCTGAAACACATTTCTCGACTAAAGAAAATACTAAGAAGAGAAAGGAGGGCACTGCTCTGGAGGAAGGATTTCGCTTGTTTGCCATTGGCGCGATACCTATGAACTTTTGCAAAGCTAGCACAGCCATGCATGCAGGTCTCGTAGAAGCGGCCCAGTAAAGTTTGCTTCATTCCGCAGCTTTACAAGAGTTTGCAGGCTCATCAAGGTGAGGAAACTGAAGGAACATGCCAAATAACGAGATTTTCCTTCGGGAAAATATACTTCAAAAAGGCTTCCAGTCACGGCGATACGCAGAAAGCAGGGGAAACTCTTAGCTGGTTGAATTAGCAAAGAAGCAGCGCCACGTTGAACCACTTCCGTCGTCTGGTGCAAATGCCGCAGGCGTGAAAACGCTTGCAGTCCTGGACTAGAACCCTGAGGGAACTAACTGCCACGGTCTTTTAACATGCAACGCACCCTCCCCTCACCAGATGGCCGTCTGGCTTCCATCCCCCTTTGAACTCAATCTTACCTTCTGTGAAGTTCACTGACGAGTGTTTGGAAACGAGTTCGCTCTCCGAGCACTGCGGACACCTGTTAAATACATCAGCTTCGAATTGGCTAGCTCGTCAAGGATATATTGTAATGTCTAAGAAGAAAAACCTGTGTGAGAGCTGTGAGCACTTTGGAATGACCGTCTTCTGGCACGAAGCAGAGACCGGAGAGAATTTCCACGGCGACAATCTGAAAACAAACATATTGGTTTCAAACGTAGGAAATCTAAGACCTCAATGGTCCTTTCAAGCACAGGAGGCAGTAGCCTGTATAAAGAATGGGTTAATTCGCCAAAATTGAGAATCGGGTTTGAAAAAAAGGTTCAGGTAAAACACATTCAATGCATCGAGACCATTTCAAATACTTTGCAACCGCTGTCTGGTCAACAAATTTGCGAGCTTTCCATCTGCCCTGGAAGAAATTTCCGGGCACAGTTCGGCTTGATGGGAGCCACAGAATGGTACTCAGCTAAGATAATGCTTGTACCGCCCACCTTGTGAAGGACCTGTGAATCCCCGACGCCGACAAAAGCGGCTTATCCCACTATTTCGCCTGCTTCAAAGGAGTTTACATGGATTTTTTTAATCATGAGCTATCAAAAGAATCAGTGAAAGTGGGGATGCCCCTCCAAGCCAAACGGCCAAACAATTCCGTTTGCAGAGATATACACGGGATCAATGAGACTTCCACATTTCCGGAGTCAAAGAGCGGCTAGTTTTATAGGTAACAGTGGAAACTTCTCTTGCAGCCAGAGCGCACTAAGTAGGCCAAGCTTTGAGGAAAGACATGAGGAATCTCTGAGCTTATGGAAGAGCGTTTGTTTTACTGCAGTCCACCAATAGCGATCCTGGGACATGACATGAATACGTTTTCGACCTCTTTAGAGAATCACGTGCATTAGTTTGATATACAGGGGGGGGGGCAAAAAAAAGTCATTTCGGCCGAGCCACATATCAACGAAGTTTTCGCAGCCCAGACAGGGGAAGTGGATATGAGTACCAGAGTGGAAGATACCCAAGATCTTCCTCTATAAGCTGGAGCAGGCTGCCGCCAATCGCCTTCATGTACGCCAAAATATGAAGTCATCTCCAGTCGCGGCCTGACTGGAGAACACCTTTGGAATTCACGTCGCCTCCAAACAGCTGCGAAACTTCTTGAATGAAGTCATCCACAGATAGCTACCTGGAGGTCAGTACTCTTGATCTGCAAGACCTCCCACATCGAGCAGCTTCGTCAACTTCGCTACGGTCTAGGACATCATCTTCACCGTATTCGCCGAGGCGCGAGTTGATGGTATGGATGGACCGGGGTACCTGGAAAGGGGAAGACCGATATTTTCTTTGTAGACCCCGACTGAAGGTGAGCGCTGGCGGTTACATCAAGTAACTCGAGAAGAATATCCTCCCTACATGTGGTCGCCCGTACCTTCTTGGAGACCTTGTGCTGCTACAGGTTTGGGTGCCACCACATGGAATCAAAGGGTTTTGGAAAAACTCCCGCCTACTTCGAATGGAAGGGCGTTTCGTACCTGAAGAAGATGTAATATTGAAGTATGTCCCCTGACCTGAACCCACTCAATTACCTAGTTCGGGCGGACTTCAAGAGGGTGGTCTACGGTGGCGGAGAAATCGACTACCCCGCTGATCTCAGGTACCACATCGCGGTCGCGTGCCAGAATCTCTCGATGGCGTTCGTCCAGAAGGCTGTGGCGGAGTGTCGTGATAGTACTTAATGTGCTCTTCAATATGGTAGTAAAAATGTCCGATCAGAATTTGATAAAGTGTAATTTATAGCGCTCGAAAGTCAATGAGGCAAA